TATATATATATATGAATATATATGAGGAGTAAAAACATGATTAAGCTTTTTTTATTTATTCACATCGTGGTTACATATTTCACAAAGTAAAAAATCAATCAAAATAGTTTACTAAACCGATTGACGCTTTTATAGTTATTTTCCTCATACCGGAACAAAGGGATTTGAAGAAAAAATAAGAAATAGTTATAAACATAGTAGAACATCATGAAGTTTTTCTTCATTATTTTGATCCGCTTTAAATATCTACCATTTGGCAAGGATCACAAAGAAAAAAATTAATCAACATGGACCAAAAAATGAGAAATTTCATACCAGAGTGAAGCTATAAACATCGCAGAAACTCATGTAGTTACTGCTATAAACATGGAAGATGTGCCCCTTGCTAGCATTAGCAATAAGCATTTATTCTTCATTGATTTAAGAAACAGAATGAGAAAGGGGTTCAAATGAGCAAGAATGAAAACCAAAGCTTTCAGAACCTCTCTTCTACTTTTTAAATCCAAGGTTACTAAATGTCTCTTTGACCAAATCACTGCGAGCCCGAGCATAATCAGCTTTGTCTCTAGTGGAAGATATCTGTGATCTCTTATCATAAGGATCGTTGCGAGCCAAGTTCTCATAAGGGGAAGTGTAACCATACTTCTTTTTCAACGTCTCCATGACAAAATCATTGCGAGCTTTGGTTCGAGCCTGTTGGGGTGCAACATTGACATAAGAAAGGTGCGCCCCAACAGCAAGAATGGCAGCACCAGAGAGGAAGCATGCTATGGTCATGGCCAGTTTCTTAGGTGTTGAGGGAAAGCACAGCACCATTGTTTCAACCACCTACAACATATTTCATCAACTATTAAGTGAACACACATCAATAACTTGCATTAAACTGTAATGATTGAACTCTAGAACTCTTAATGCTACTCATGAATTAACCATTTCAAAAGTTTATACTTTGTGAAGGCACAAACAATTTTATACCATCCCATTTTTCATAACATAAATGCACCATTCATTACTGCATGACAGTTACACAGAATCAAAGATTGCAATAGGCACTGTGTCAAATCTCTGGTCCTTGTTTTAAGGGGTTTAATTAATAATTTAAAAACATTATTTTTTTTTATTTCAAAATGAAAATAGAAACAAATCAATAACCCTGTTATGTTAAAACAGCGGGCATTTTATCAAACATGTGGAGTGCATCATCAAAGACAAAGAAGCGAAATTTTTAGCAGATGCAACATGATTCCACCAAACCATAGGCGAATCAAAAATTGACTTGACTATGATATGAATTCAGATGTTTAGATTTATCAATGGAAACATAAATGTGAAGAATTTAAACATGCAATCGAATTTGGTGCATTTTTTGAAAAGTGATTAATTGTGTACCGGTGGAACTGCAGAATCACGTTGGTAATAAGCACTTTATTATTATACAGCGGAAATTCTACTAAAGTGTTTCCTCCTTTCCTTCCATCTACACTTCTCTCTCATTTATTTTTCTTCCTCAAAATGCTACAATTGTGCACCTCCTTCCTTCTCGCCTCATGATAATTTATTTGAGACTTTTTAAGCATGTTCTTAAATTAAAAAAATAATAATAAATAAATAAATAAATAATCTATACCAGGGATTTTCAATAACAACCTTAATTTTCACATTGTTTTTACTATTATACCTTTCTGTTTTAAAAAATTAAAAAAAATAATATTTTTTTATCAAATCTAAGAACTTAAAACTAATAAATTAACTATAACACCAATTAAATCAATATACTTTTATTATTTAATTTTTATTTTTATTTTATTTTTAATAAAAGAACAAAGCGTTTCGACCCTATTACTATTACTAATAATAATAATAATAATAATAATAATAATAATAAACGAATCTTTCATCACGTAATTTTTTTTAGTTGAATTATTAGAATTTTCATATTTTTATATATAAAACATTATGTCACAGTATTTTTAGGTTTTTTTTTTTCAAAAGAATTTTTAAAATTTTTTAACTTTGTATCTAATTCAATTTTTATTTATTATAATTAATTATAAATTAAATTTTAATATTTTAAAATAAATTATCAATTAATAAAAATAACCATGAATTATAAAATAAATTATTTATCATAAATCTAAAATCAATTTTTATATATAAAATATGAATAAATATTTTTGTATGAGAATCTTTTTTTAGATTTTTTATGAAAACTTTCTAAGAATTTTTTAACTTCATATCTAATTTTATTTTTATTTATTATAATTATTTATGAATTAAATTTTAATATTTAAAATAAAATCATTTATAAATAGTGCTATAATATAGATTATTTGTTATAAATTTAAAATATAATTTATATATTTAAAATTATCTATTTATAACCCCAAGCGTGTGGTTCAGCGGTAGGGGTTGATCCACGCTTAAGCAAGGTCAGGGGTTCGAATCCTGCCTTGTGTATGCAGCCGCGTTAAATCTTGGGGCCAGCTATCCCACCCTTTGAGGTGCCTCCAACGTAGCGAGGAGATTAGTCACTGCTGTCGGCGGTGGATACTCCAGGAACGAACCTAAAAAAAAAATTATCTATTTATTTAAATTTTAAATATAAATTATATATTTAAATATAACATTTATTTATATACATAATTAATTTTAAATTTTAGTTATATATAATAAATATTTAGCCTTTAAATTATATATACTAAAATATTAGTTATCATAAATTCTCAAAAAGATATTTAAGTTTTAAACCGTCATAAACTAAATCAATTTTTTTAAAATTTAAAGATCTAATTAATTATGCTTTTTAGTTGAAAATCTTAATCGAAATTTCTCGAATAGCTTATAAACCAACAGAATAATTTAACTAATTTTAATGATAGCCGTTCTTTCAAACTATTTTGGTCCATAATTTTGACCATTTTCGTACATAGAATACTAAAAGATGATAATGCACCGCAAAAAAAAAAATACTTAAACATCATATAATATATTTTGATTTTATTAATGAGATTTAGTCCGGTGGAAGACTCAAATCCCTACTAAAAATGCATCTATGCTTAACAATTAACTGCAATTAACTGTGAAAAAATATTGTACCATTAAAAAAATATTATAATATTTAAAATAAAATAATAAGAACAATAGTTAGTAATATTACCTCCAATCATTTTTCGTGTGATTCCAAAAGGCATTTAATACTCTCAAGACATGCCATCAACAAAATCCTAATTAGAAATCACGGAAAATAAACTCTTCTTCCAAGAAATATTAGGTCAGCTAAAAGCTATGGTTGTGTTTAGATAAAGAATGCTAGAAATTTAGAATTTTAAAATTTAAATTCCTTTAATTTTAATTTTTACTATTTATTAAATATTTTATTTGGATAAATTAATTCAAAAATTTTAGTTTTTTTTATTTTTAATTTGGATAGGAAAATTTAATTTATTCTATATGAAAAATTGATTTTAAATAAACAGATATAAATTTTTAAATTAAATATCATAAAAAAACATTAATTAATTTTTATATATTTAATAATTAAAACAATTAATATTAGTAAATATTTTATAATTTTAAAAATTAGAAATTATTAATATTTTTATCAATGAAAGAGAACAAAGAGAGATGGAAGAGTCATGGATACGAGAGAGGAGAGAATAAAGAAAGAGGAAGAGATGTAAGGGGAAAAAAAAAGACAAAGGGGAGAGAGAGAAGTAGGGGTGAGCATAAAACCGAGACCCGAACCGAACCCGAAAAACTCGATAAAAAATATTACTTTTGGGGTGGGTTCGGGCAGGTTTTATGAGTAAATCGGGTTAAAATTTTGATTTTATACGGATTATATTGGGCAGGTTTGGTTTTAAATTTTTAAACTCGCTAAAAATCGAACCTAATCGAAAATGAGATAAGTTTAAATTTTTATTACTTTTGTATAACTAAACAACAATAGTCCAAACTCAAAAGTCTTTATTTCAAGTATAATCTAGTCATCAATTTGTAACTTTTTTTTTCTTTTTCTCATAACCTAGATATTTCTTTTGTCTTCTCCTTCCTCATTCAATTTCTCAACACACCAGTCTACTTTTAGATTTTTCTTTTTGTTTCTTTCTTTATCTTTCTTTTTCATCTTCCTATTTTCATTTTGAGTACAACTTGTGCGACAATGATTTCTTATAGATTTTGTAATCTAACTTTAGATTTCTTTTGCATGTAACAATTATAAATTTTGTTATCTTTTATTTTTGCTTCTTTAGTTTGTAAATGTTTCATTTACGAATCTACTTACATCATCTATTGTTTCATTTAGTAGTCGTGGCACAGATAGGAAATAGATGGAATTGGTCATGTACCATTCCATGCATTCTCGTGTGTGAAACAATGGGTCTTGCATTGGATAACCCATCAATGTGTGCTCACGTTTATTGTTTCATACGTCGACCCATTAGAAGTGGCCAGAACAGTTTGTTCTAGATTCAGAACAACTCGTTCTGGTTCCACTGATCATGTTTTAATTTTGAATCCGGAACGGGCTATTCTGATTCTACAACAAGCCATTCTGATTCTAGAACAAACCATTCTGATTCATTCGTCATGTGTTATTTTTGAATCTGGAACAGCCCATTCTAATATCAAAACGACCAGTTCTGAACGTGAACAGTAAACAGTGCTAGTTTGGTAAATAAATTCGCACAGTTGTTATTTGGGTAAATTTTTTTAAAATAATATTATTTCAGTAAAAAAAACTCAATTTCAAACTCTTCATTCAAACAAAACATCTCACTTCAAAACATTTAAAATTCTTTTAAAAAAAAGGAATTACTCCCTTAAATCTCTCATTCTAACACACAAGTACAAATGCAATTTGTATAAGTCACCTCAAGACCTCAACATTAAGTAACATGGTATCCGTATCAAAAATATTCAGAGGAAAAATGAGCTTATGAGACAACCTATGGTACAACAAAACCTGGTAAGTGTGGAAGAATCAATATACAAATAAAAATTTGAGACCCCTCTTTTGTATACAACTTGGGACAAGGAGCAAGGCAAGGACACAAAATCGCACTGCAAAATGACACATAATGTGTCAGTATCAGGGTCTAAAAATCCAGCATGATATATAAACCAACACAAATGGACCTTTCCCTCATGGCATTGATTCAGCAACCTTCAGAAGCATAGTGGAATTGTCAAGTTAAATTCAGTTAAGAGTTATGCTATTTCTGCTCCAACAACATATCCTACACTTTGTATCACTTGGCAGTAAGTAGTAACCAAACTGGCTGCAATTGAGGGCAAAAAACATTGCAAGCCACATATCAGATGATGTGAATCAGAAAATTAAGCTCAGATATCAGAAGTTTCAATTAACATTCAAGTCAACATCCAAGGCTTTTCATTATGTCAACCAACTCATTGATCACAGTTCCAGGATCAGCATGTGATCCAGCAAGGTTGATTGCATGATACTCCAACCCTTTCCACCTTGCAATATACGCAAAATGGGGGCGTCTGAATTGGCTGCTAATGATCTCCAGAATCACAGTTTTAGGCAATGCAGATACAATATGAGTAAGACCAGCGCCATGCGCGCCGATGATGACCGATGCATCTTGAATGGCACGCACCTGATCCTTCATAGACATGTGAGCAAACAAGCCATTGACAAGGTTAACTTTACACCCTTTAAAACCAGATGACCAACCCTTCAAGGATTCAAAGACTTCTTGCTCGTTACTTAGCCGCGATTCAACTTTACCACCATGGCGTGGATGAGCCAAGTAATCTTCGCGGCGAACAAAGAGGACATTGTGTCCAAAGAGGGGTTTTCTACCGCTGTGTATGTTTAATGGTAGCCCAAATGCTGCTCTGATCATTTCTCCAAATTCAGAAAGGCGTGCAGTTTTGTGGTCATCAGGCTTTTGCCACAGTTCTTGTGCAGGAGCACCATAACAATCTATGTCCTCTGTTAGTCCTTTAAACAAGGCTGTTTCATATCCCAAAGGAGAGAGAATGGCATGGCGAAAACAAACTGAACCACTGAAGTTTTTGGCATATCTAAGGCTTGAGAATAATGCTTTCCATGTCTCTTCAAGAGGAGCCTGAATTTTTTGGAGGAAACTAGTAAGTTAACAGAGGTTTCTGCCAATTTCCATATTTGTCAACAAGGTAAACAAAACTAACCAATAAGTAAAACTTAGTACATGTGTGTTCATACAATTTACGAAGGATGAAGGTTATATTTAAGCAACATAATTAACTTGCTAACTTAAAAATGAAAATAGAAAAAATCAAAATCAAAACAATGGTGTCCAACAAAAAACTCATAATAATCATGTTGTGAGACTTGACAAGAGAGTTTCTACTTGACTTGGAAGTTTAGAAGATTTTACTTGGATTGGTAAACCATGTGGCAAAATTCAATCCCTCCTTCCTAAAGAAGAATAAAATACCAAAATTATGGAACAGGCTTTGGAAATGCAAAAGTAATAGGAGAGGCTAGACACGTTAAAAAAAACACTAGGTCAATTTGACATCAATATTTTAGATTATAGATAGTGAGTAAATGGTCATTTTGATTTTGATTATAGAAAGACCTTTCTTGTTAGTCTTTGAAACTAAGAAAATATCAAATAAGCCCCTTAAATACAAATTGACTATCACATCAGTCCAAAATTCAAAAAGACGTGTGATTAAAGTGATAATATACATTTAAAGGCCAAAATGACAATAATTATTCAAGTTTAAGGACTATTTGATATTTTCTTAATTTCAAGAACTAATGTGATGGCGCTCACTACTTTCATGGACCAAAATGACTATTAACTCTCTAGATAATATTTAATCTTAACTTTCCTACCAAAAAAGTCAAGAAATACAAAGATACTTCATCTATTGATTCCTTTTATTTAGATCACGAAACCAAGCTTGATCCAATCAGTTCCTTTCATGGAATGAAGCAAAAAGCAGCCAGATTCTAGAAGAACACCCAATGTTATCAATCTCAACAAATAATTATTAATTTCAGATTGGGTTACAAAAATTACGGACATAGTTTATAATCTCTTCTTAAATTCTTCACATCTCGGTAGTCCTTTTCAATTTTTGTATCTCAAAATCTTACATTCCACCTCTACTTTGGATGCTTAATCAATAGCTGATGCCAAAATTTCTTTGAAGAGGTCAAATATATGCAAACCAACAGCACCAAAGATACTGCATGCTTTACATTCTTTTATGTTTTCATATGATGCAAACTAGAATGTTGAAAGTGAACAAAACAAACTAACAAAACCAGTCATGCATACCATACAGTGGCCGTCAACAAAGATCAAATGAGGTCGATTAGGCAGACCAGTGACCCTAGAAGAAACATAAGCACTGTACCAGTCAGTAACAGTGTGAAATAGATTTGCATACTCAAAGCGTGTCACCAGAAGTGTCGGTTCCTCAATCCACTGCAGGTAGAAACCCTCATGTCAAAAACACATAAAAGCAAACATTCTACAAAGAAATATAACAAGACTACGTTAAATTACGTCAAAAGGAGAAGGCAATTGTTTAAATTAAAAGCTAAAAACAGAGTGAAAGTATAGAGGGAATGATAAGTTTTATTAATTGAATTTCGCATAAACATTTATTATAGAAATATGAGAATGATTGCATCTCTAAGTAAGTCTCTTATCCCCTAAACTTGATATAGAATTTGTTTGGATACGTACTATGAAATGCTGTTGAAAGTTTTTCCATTGAAAAATACTCTTTATTTTTAGTTAAAAAAAACTTTTAGAAATGTTTCTAACTTGTCCAAACAGATTCATTGAATAAAGCCATGTTTATGCCACTCTTTGGTGTTCTCTTCAAGCCTTCTTCAAGGGAATTGCTGTCTCTAATAAGCAGAAAAATGGGAAGGACTTGCTGCATTCTTAATTTGTTTGATTATTTTTGCATTACTTTCCCTATTTTGGAGAATATCTTATCCTCCCTCATAACTATCAAAATAAATTACTCCCTCGTAACCGATCAGACCCAACCATTGCATTAAACCCTCTACCGAATCAGAAAGAAAACAAAACACATTTATCTCCCCCCTAACAGGAAACACAATTTAATGAATCTCAAACTCAGATAAGGTAATAAATTAACAATGAATTTCCATAACGAATCCTAATCCAGAATCATCAAAGACAAGAAAAAATAACGACCAAAGTCATAAACTCCACAACAAGATAAGATACACACTCGAAGGTCAAAATAAGAAAGGTTAAAACTTAGATACAATTCTTTATTTTTATATATGTTCGGTGTTGTTCTCCGATTAAAATTGAAATTTTCCTCGATAAAATATGTAAATGCATATTAATGAGATAAACATTAAATGCAAGTGCATGTTTCCAAGATAAAATTTTACTAATTCTAATTTGAGAACAACACTAATCACATTTCAGAAATTATACCTATGTTTTGTCCAATTAAAAACCCTACAACTCTCACCCCAACCACAAACACCCACATGATCAAAGCCATAAAAACCTTCACTTTCCACTCCCCTCGCTTCATCACATTCAAAATCCCTCCCCCCCCCCCCCCCCCCCCCCCCTCCCCCCCCCCCCCCCCCCCCCCCCCCCCCCCCCCCCCCCCCCCCCCCCGCTCCACCC